TTCGGCTTCCCAATGAACTAATCTCCGACTGCATGTACGAACTATGCTCTGCAAAAAATGACTTCAGAAACAGCATGCACTTCTCTCATTGATTTTCGATGCGCTTAAATATTCAGTTATATTTCATGGAAAAATGCATAAAATATTTATTCTTTTACTTATTCGGTAGAAACTGACGTCTTCTTCCGATTTTATACTTGAAAGAAAAGTGTAATTCCGTTTCGAAAACGTTTTTTAATACTGTGATATGTCCGTTAATAAATCGTCATCTCTCTGCATATGCGAATGTGGCTTGTAAAGTTAACAATATATCTCAAATCAACTGCTTAATTTTATGAACCCATATGGTCTTCTCTCAATACCGTAGATAAATGCATGGTTTTTCGTACACGGAGAATATACGGCTTGTTGTTTGAGAACTCCGAATGCAAGTGTAACAGGGTTCAAAATTATTTGGGAATTAAAAGTTTTTCAGAAACGAATTATAGTCTTCTTCCAAGTATAAAATCGGAAGATGACGTAATTTTCAACCGAATGTGTAAAAGAATAAATATTTTTATGCATTTTTTCCATGCAGTATAATAATATTTTCAAGGGCATCGAAAATCAATGAGAAAAATGCATGCTACATATGTAGTCATTTTTTGCAGAGCATAGTTCTTGTATACCGTCGGAAATAAGTTCGTTCGAGAGAAGGCATCCTGAGGTAACGGAATTAATTTAGAATTATGTTGCATGATGATTTGATTTACAACCCTACTTAATTAATGTTTTCGAAACGAGAACGCATTTCGGAATTTCGGTTGACATTTCATGAGTTAGCCCACCTACTGTTGTTTAGAAACGTAGAGCATGCAGAAATTTCATTTAGTATTTAAGGCCTACATTAGTTACTGGCGTCTATTCTGCCAGCGTCTCCTAAATCGCCAGTGTGGATTTTTAACAAATCCCTATAAATCATTGTTATTTTGTTCGATCCTCGTAAAAATTGAGCAATATTAATTAGCTTGTGAAACGACTGTTTGCATAGTGTATTAAACGAATCATATCGACAGGAATGGACTCGGAAATTGTAGTCGTCGTCTTGTTATGTGAACTCGCAGGGCTTTCTTGTTGATATTGCAGTTTCCAACTTAATAGAAAATATATTTGAATTCATAAAGGCGTCGAAGGTAAATGAAAAAAATCATGCTCATTTGGCAGTCATATTTCACGAATACAATTTTGCATGCAGCCGGGTATAACTGCACTCACAGCTAGAATCCTGGCGAAACCGACATATCTTTAGATTACATTACATGGTAACAACTCCACCCGGTTAATCCTCCCTAATCGTAAAAAAAACAATTCAGATCTTCGCCCAACATTTAATGGGATAGACCAGTAGACAAAGACCTTTTTAAGCGAACGAGATGAACGTTTTCTGACCGGTAAATAATTGAAAGATGGATCTGAAAGTTCAATAATAATCACTCGAGAGAGCTCAGTACCTCCTGAAAAGTTGACCTCTGATTTGAGAGGAAGAACCTGTGTGAATGCCTATTGCTGTGCCATAATCCCAATATTGAGTAATTAACCAAACCGCGGTTTCACCAAATTTGCGCCGCTGAATGGTGTATGATGCAAGTGCGATGGTTCCGGCCTATCCGTTCTACCTCTAGCGCTCCCCGTGTGCTTTCTAGTAGATGTTGCTGTTCGCATGTCAGGTTTTTTAGTTTTCTCGAAAATTAATGCGCGAAATTGGAGAAACTTCTTCTGCGCACATATTCTCACGTTCGGTCCAAAGTAGCATGTGAATTTTTTGGGCTGGAGTCAATCAATTTTAGTAGACTAACCGCGTGTTATTCACAAGCTGTCAACACGCAGTCGGCATGCCTCCAGCGCGGGTGCCACATGGATGTCCAAACACGCCTGTTTCACCGATTTCGGTCCGTTCTGGCATGTAGCTCATCAGAGGACCCCCGGGGTCCCCTGTGTGCTTTCTAATGTGCTCATCAGTTTTTTTAGTTTGCTCAAAAGTTATTGTGTGGAAATGGAATGTGTACTTCGACGCAAACCTCTTCAGACGCGAACCGAGGGTTGATATGAACTTCTGAGCCGAAATCCGTCAACTATGGCAGAATTACGGAGAGTTGTCGACAAGACGACGACAGGCAGTTAGTAGTATATGCATATCGACTGACTCACCACACATCAGGGGTACCAGGTTAGAGCCGTTGCTTAAAAGGGTGGACTGAGGATTCTGGGAAAAATCGGAGACGAAAACACAAATGCCCTGTATGACTTTGAGGTATTTAAGCACCCTGCACATGGCCTCACCTCCTTTCTCAAACACTGCCCATATGATGTCCTCGAAAAGCCCTACCTGGTTGTCTATTTGCCAGGGACTAATAGAAGCAAAGCGACGAGTCCCAGGAAGCGATCATGTCTCCTTCTCGCACTCATGAACTCCGCAAGACCAGACTGATTCAGACAGTTCGACCGTCGTTGCCGACGATGTCCACCGTGTGCTTCAAGGCAAGATAAAACACACACGGTGACTTGCGCGTGAATTAGTTTTTAGTGGATGTAGACTTGCCCAGCGACTACCGCACTCTCCCACCTGGATCCGGTGTCAAGATAATGTCAATAAAAACCGGAGGCGGGGTGGCCGGACCCGCACCTTGGCGTGCCACCACACCCCTTGACCCAAACAGCAAATGACCAGGATTTTTCGCAAACAACAACACCCCAAAAGGGGTCAGAAGAAGGAGGATGAATGGACAGCCATGTTCCGGGGAGCGCAAACGCATCTACCGGTAGGGAATCCTGCGTCAGGGAACTGCCAGCGCATTCCGGCCGTGAGGGCCATGGTTTGTTGAAACTGGCATTGCACACGCTTTCAGAGCTTTTGACCTACACCTGGCCCTGCATTTGGCCTGGGCCGTCACCCTTCATGGTTGGGTAACCAAACAGTCGTCGACTGAGAGGCACTACCCATAAAGCACACATACAAACGCAAACAATTTCCTCACATGCAGAGAGTGTTACACATCGCTTGAGTAGGGGTCGTGGCAGCCTGGCTCTCAGCCCACCAGTCTGGCACTACACATAACACACACAACTGGGCAGACTGCGTGAACTGAGTTGGGGCACCAGTTGGCTGTCTTCCGAGCTACGACGATCGACATACCGTCTTCGTTTCAGACTACAACCACATATTCAGCAGGGGAGCCGCATGGAGAAAGAGCCGAGAAGACCGATTCCTATCATGAACCCTGGACGTATTTCTCCAAGAAAAATCCCTAGCCAGAAAATTACCAGCCTTTAGTTGAAAGAATTTTTGAAGTTGGGTTGTCAACGTACTTTGGTGGGTTTACATTTCGTGTCTTAATTGACAATTCCCAGAATATCTTTCATGTAGCAGTCATAGACAGAGTAGCTAAGAAAAAAGAATAAAAGTCAGTACGGTCTCTCCTGAAAATAAAAATGTGTTTCTCAAAATACTTCTCGATAGAGGCTCACACGAGATACTGATATATAAACTGTTGACTCGGGCTATTTGAAACGCTTTCACCACAAACAAATAGATCCTAGAGCATGGAAATTCATTTTATTCCCATCTCGGATCAAAGGGTACACCTGATAGCACCAATTAGTTTACGAATAAGGATGTACCGTTGAGCGCAACCATACCATTTCAATCAGGTTTGGACACAAAATATCCTATACTAAGGTGTCCGATCAACTGTAGCTCCCGGCTGTAAGGTCTCTTTTATCTGCGTGAGCTGTTTGTTTATGCTAACCTTGAAACGCCGGACACACAGACGCATGCTTTGAAGCACCTGGGACGGGTCGTTTGATTCTTGCCTATTAAAGCCAATCGGCTTACTAATACTAGTTCTGCTGGTCCCAGCTAGGCCTGCAGATCTCATTCATGATGTCAGACCAGAACAGCTTGCAACTTTTGAGCAACTCTACTGATGGTCGTCACCCAAGTAGCGAGTAGTAATGATCGCGACAGTTCAAGTTGTTTTGTAAACATCGTTGCTTGTCCTTTCCTCAGGTCCTACGAAGGGAACCGCAATAAACCTTGAGGCAGTTTTAACCGAGCGTCTGTGAGAAGACATTGGCAACGATTTTCACTGAGTGGCAGGAGAGAGGAAATTTACTATTGTCTACATTTCCGATATGTAGCACTTTTTTAATATACGGGTGAAGGAAGCACTGATCGTCGACCCCTCCAGCTCTCTAGTTGTCTAGATTATCAGGCGGCCAGCATTTCCTATTCTGCAGTAATTCGTAGTAGACGTTTTACGCCCAAAGCGAGCTGCGCCTGTAAACAGCCAATCAAAGCAAGCAGTTCCAGCCAATTAGAGATCGCACAGGCCATCTCAAAGAGGGAAGGTCCGAGCATCCCAAAAACAATGCTTAGAAACCATCAGAAATTCCGCCTTCTTCTTGTTGTTTCCCTCATTCAATGCTTGTTTACGTTGTCTACCGGAAAGCAGACAAGTTTTCGATTTCAGTTACAGAAAATGAAAAGGTTGGCCAACTGAAAGAGAAGATATGCGAAATTGGACGCATTCCAAAGGTGGAACAGATGCTCACCTTCGATGGCTACTTTCTCGAGGACGCCTTTCCGCTCTCTGACTACGGAATAGACGTCAACTCCATCGTCACTGTAAATCTCCGCCGTGGATACTACCCCACCATCAAGGTGGACTTCGTGCTTCCCAACGGCACCAGCCTGACACTTACCGTCGCCAAAACTGAGACCGTTGCGGGGTTGAAGGGTGTGCTGCAGAAGGCAGCCGGTCTGGTCTCCTGCTCGCATGAGGTGATGTTCAATGGGTATTTGCTGCAAGACATGGGACGCGACTTACTGAGTTACGGCGTCAAGGACGCCTCCACTCTAAAGGTAATTCGCTGTTTCCCCCTGGAGGAGAAGTGTCGTCTGGTGGTTAAGTTGACTGGAGGAAAGGAGTTAAAACTGGAGACCCACAATGACTGTCCGATTGAAGAGTTACGCAATGTCATTGCAAAGGACACGGGTGTCCAAATGGACACTATGCTCCTACTCTACAATGGTCGTGAACTTCGTCCACCGGGAACGTTGGCGTACTATGACATTCAGCGGGAGGCAACAATCTCGATGTTACACTCCACGCGTGAGGACTGAGTGCATGACTGAGGTTTTTCAACCTATTTGAAACTTCCCATGTTTTCGCTGCATGTGTTCAATTCCTTAGATTAGCAGTTTTTCGGGGGTTCAAGATCTTACTAGGAATAAGAGGCGGTCTTTTCTTTTCCTTATGAGAATGGAGAGCCTGATGGGTGATGTGTTTCTGTGTCCTGCCGGGCTTCGGAAGCAACCAAATGCCATAAGCCAGCGATGCGCCGCTAAATGCAGTTTTTTGCGGCAGTTAGAACACAATCAGATTTCATGCTGTACGACCTTACAAGTGTACGGCTGTGTAGAGCAGAAACAGCTCGGTTCACGCAAGACTTCTGTGTCTTCGTGCTTTTGGTCAAACGCCCTCAACGGGAGAAGGATTTTGCGCTCGAGTTTGTCCGGCTTTTGACTCAGTGTTAATATGCACCGCTGCTATATGCGAATTATGCCGTAAAATGGGAATGAAACCCGCCTATAATATGTACGATTTTGTGTCCATTCAGAGGCGCTCACACGAGATTGTTCTCCCTATAAACATTCGGGATGCTGTTAGTCGAGATCTCGCGTTTAGTCGTTCTAGTTTGTGCTTTGGGGCTCCAGATGCAGTCAGTATGCGCGCGCAAGATCAGACTTGTGCGGAATCTACCTCCCTCGGGCTTCTCACCTTTACCGTGTTTAAGAGGCAAGGTTTTGGATGAACCTACGGGCAGGATCACAGATGTGAAAAAACGTCAAACTGTGTATTGTAAAACCCGAGTTAGGATGTTGCCTGTAGACGACATCTACAGTATCCCTCTGGGTGGTTGCTTCGAGCTCTATCCAAAGAGTTAATGACTAAATGCAGCAAAATAGCACGAAAATATGGGTGTCCAATTTTACAGCCCTGAAGTCAGGTGCAGGCTTCAAAAAAGTTTAAGTAGTTGACCTTTTGGTTGGTTTTTTTTGATCAGGACTGGAGAGATTGTCGAAGGAATGGGGGAGAGGGGAGGAGGGGGGTAGCACTTAAGCGATAAACGGTCTTTGGGAAACCAACCGTGTCGGCAAACGCGGCCCATCTCCACTCAAATGCTCACAACCCGCGACCTATTTTACCAGGCGATAACAAGGATGGTCAGTCCTGTGGACTACATGCAGAAGAAAAAAAGAAGCTAAGTACGACCATTAAAAGAGGCAGGCCCTTCGCTGTTGGTAATGCAGCTCTTAGGATACCGGCAGAGACCATTCACGGGTCTGCTAAGTTGTCTAAGCCAGATGTTCCGACGAACGACTAGGCACGCGAGGCGAGGTAGTGGCTTCACACGGAATGCAGGTCCCCGGGGTAGAGTTGAAGATCTGCCTACTACAACCAGTCATAGATATCATGACCTGATTGTGCCTGTTGTTTGGTGGTGCGTTGACGACGATGAGGAAGTGTTTTCTTTGGCTCCTCCTTGTGGTTCTTTTGCTACATGTGACATCCGAGCAGTCTGTCCCGAACCATTCCCTCGACCCCCTCTTCTTCCTGATGTGCGCAATCCCGAGTATTTGTCCGGGGACCGGGAGGTAGGGTGGAACGTCTAGGCGCGGTTTTTGTCGCGCCAGCCATCTGCATCCTCTGTCACTCCCCATCCTCTTGACCCTGACATGACACCGAGCACAGGTGGGGGTAGGGGGGGAGTGCAGCAGATGCTTCGCAAGTCACTGTATGCTGTGGGGCATACGGTGGACATCGTGGGCGACGACATCAGAGCTATCATAAAGTAGTCACGTATGGGACCACAGCATAACTAACGCATAGGCACCCGCGTAGGCATTAATTCAGCATTGTTACAGTGCGTGGCCTATCTCATGAAATCTGATAACGGAAACTGATGCGAGAATTTCTAGACATCTTTAACGATGCGCATTTTGTTCACTCATCCACAACCTTCGATGGAGTTTCCTTTTCTTGGGCAGAAATTGTGCTTGCGCAATTATATCAGGTAAAATATCAGTAGATTTTAGCAAAAATTGACGTTGCAATATATTCGTGCGATTTCCTATGCTAATACATGTCCCAGACTCCAGTTACGCATCTGAGCGACGTTTTCATTGAAAGGAAAATAATTTACCCACGAGAGATTTAATGAACAGATTTAGCCGGGCTTGAAAATTTATTTTATGTCCGATGTTAACCCTGCTAATCAACCTCCTAACACAAAGGTTATTTTAAGAAAACCAGAGGTTTTATCAATTCCTAAATATTAAATTAGCAGATCTGTGCGATTTAGTGCCCTAAAGTGCAGCCATCATGCAGATTGGGATTCCTTCGTTTAAATGGGCTCAAATTGTTTTGCCGTTTGGAAAATCCTACCTGATGTCTTATAAATGGCCACCACCAAATGGTCATTTCTAGTTTTAAACATATGAGGCGCTATTTGTTGTGTATTTTAGCTCTTGTGCATACCTTATTCGGAAATAGAACAAGCAAAACAGTAATAGTTTCAGCAAAATATCGGTGTTTATATGGGCGCTCTGCCGTGCATTCATAATCGAAGAACAGAGTCTAAAAGCGAGCAAAACAGTGAAAATGGCCTCAATATATAGAGAAAGGCATTTTCTTACGTTTACGATAGGAACATATTAATATTGTTTAAAAACGTGAGAGAAACGGTCAAACGTGTCAAATTTTTATTTGGCCTCGCAGTGCAAAAATGCAAAATACACAGAAATCCGTCAACGAAGTGCAGTAATAAAGCAATTCTTAAAGAGGCAACTTATAAAGGAAAGTTTTCTTATTGATCGAAGGCGTATTCGTTGCTGACTTATGTTGTGGACAACCATTTTTCTCAAAATAGAAGTTTGATGTTTGGATGAGTCTTCACATGTGACTCAAACGACCATCTTCGTGAAACGGGGCGCCCGAACATTCACTTATTCGGCAATAACCTTTAAAATAATCTTATTTCAAAGTTCTCAACAGACAGGTAATTCAAAATCTGTCCTTATGGACGATCGGGTGAAAACACTAAAAATCATGAAGTATTCAGCAACATTTCCAGGCCGATCTGAAACTCAACGTAATCCAAAACGAAGAAAAAGTTTAAATTAATTTAACGGACGAAAAGTTCTCTCTATAAACACAAAGTGGAATGTTTAAGATCACGCCTGTCAGTTCTATTAAAATTTATTAGGCACCGAACGGCCTCATGACATGTCACCTTATGGAAACCTTCGTTCCCACGACGTCCTCATCGGTGAAATCAAGCCAAATCCAGTTTATCATGTTGAACCCCATCTCATTTACTCCAAGCAGATAAAAAACAGGGATCACTGGAAAACTGTTTTAGAATCAACACTCAGAATGTAGGCAGTTGACAAACCGTCATATATGAGATCACACTAATTATTAAATGATGTTTAGATGTAAACTTCACTGAGGCATTATTATTAGACGTTATTTTATTACTACTATCATATTTACTACGTTTTTTATGGGAATACATTCCATACCTATAAAAACGAAGCTTACTAAATTAGAGCCATTAATGACGTCTTCGGAATATTGCGTTTTTCAAAATAAATCGGCATTGCTAAACAACGCAACACTACCTTCAATATTTTTTCATGTTTTTAATTCTTCTAAACTTGTACTTCATTGATATGGACATCGGACTCATGAAATAGTGTCGGTTTGCGAGTGATTGGTAATCGTGCGTAAATTTCGACACATTTCATGAGTTAGGTCATTAACTGTAACTCATGCTGTCCGGTTCTTTTTACAGACACCGGACCCCACTGGGGAGAGTTATCGTCAGGACTTTATTGCGGACTAACCTGCAATCCTGAAGGCGATTGATTTATATCGTCGATCGATTATCTCCAGTCGATGACGTCGGCTGTGTTCTTAGAGCTTCAAAGACCATGTTTGACGCGTTCAGTTGGGTTTAGATCAGCCTCAATCTCCTACCTCTCTCATTAAGTATCAGCAGCAGGTCCAAATTAAATTAGATAGACCTAAGGTTTGGTTCAATAGCTAAGGTGGTGAACAAGTCCCCGTCTGCAGAGATCACACATAAACTAGTTCATCATTTCAAGATAACCCGATTTCGACCGAGGCTTCATACATGCAGAGGTTATCGACCGACGGGTTAAAATGCTCCCCTTCCTCCAGACTGACGGTCTTGTTGCAATAGCTCCTTCTTAACGCACCTCTTGTCTTGAACCCTGGACAACAACATAAAATCTTCTCGATGAATTTTCTCGGAGAACTGTACGCATATTTTAAAAAAGTGACATCTCACTGCACCGTTATCAAGAATCTAGATTCTTTTACCGAAATAATCAATTAGATAATGTGCAACAGTTTGAAAGAACACATAGATATGCTGAGAGAATAAAGGTTTTAACCGCATCTGGCTACTGAGAAGACCATTTTCTAAGGGGTTTAGAGATATTCAAGAAGTGAATGCAAGAAATATGGGTGCAAAGGCTTTAAAAAGTGGCAAACAGCTTAAAAAGCGACTGCAGATGGATGTGGATCTAAAGATCAAGGATTACCAGGGAGTTGACGTTATTTATTTGTCTGCCGCCTCAGGTGCAATCTCTCTGCAGAAATATTGAACTCAGATGAATAAATGCCTCAAATGCAGAAAGTCAACTGGAAGTTTTAACGCTTAGCTCCAAGTCGACAGTATGTCCCGGCAAAGAGAATCTTCATAACGTTGAGCAAGTCGTGACAGACGTTTACCCGATTCGCTTGCTAATATATTTTTAGCTCGCCCAACATACTTGCCTCTGCAAGCTTATTTACAGTGTTAAGCACGCATTGAAGCAGTGTGCATAGGCAGGGAGCCCTTAATGGGACTACTCAGGATGACAGTTCTAGCATCGCAAACAACGACGTCCACTAGTTGTCCCAAAGGGTGCAGGCAATACCGGCGACTTGCGCAGCGCTTACTGCACTCCCTCCCCTTCACCAAACTACCTTCAGTAGTGACATAATGTCAGGACCAACGGAGGTGGGCGCGGACGCGCGTTATGACAGT